TTCCAAACACAGTTTTTGTTTGTATTTTACATAATCTTTGAATAACACAGACGATACTTTGATCCCATGAGCTAACAGGTTTCTTGGCATAATAATTTCACATGATTTAAAGGTCTCCTATCATGCAAAATGCACTTTTTTGTCTTTTATACATAAATATGTGTCCCCCGTGTGTCAGGAACTTCACAAAGTGTCAGAAAACAAAACCCTCTCTCTTTTCCTCCGTACCCAAATCTCTAAAAACGGGGGGACAACGGAGCTGATCCAGATTTGCTGCCGATATGACGTAATATCTGAAATGTCGGCTGGCTTTACGCCCACGGCCCTATCAGAAAGTTGCTATCAGAAACAATGCTTGACTGTTTTGGACGTAATATGGTCTTTGTTTACATTAGCAATCATCGCTAACACTCAGAGCTAAGCTGTACTGGAGAAAGTATGTATAAAAAAGCAGGAAATTAAAAAAGGAACTCACCTTGTGGTAAACCCACAAGAGAAAAAGTATTTGAGCTAATAAATATATCCTTGATGTGGTTTTGAACATGATATGGCGTTTCATCACGACAGCATTTAGCTGAGTATCTCGGTAGAATTCTGAGCAGGCATAAGCTTTTTTATAGCTAAGGACCCAGAATCAGCACATCTCTAACAGGGCTGGAATAGAGGGGTATGAGTCATGGCTAGAATGGGTGATCTGTTTGGTATTTCGAGCAAAAGACTTCATAGACATGTTTTTTATACATTTTCATATATTTGAGAACTATAATGTATGCCTAAAAATAGTATAATAGGAGACCTTTAAATGAAAATGTTTAATTATTAGATTGGATAAATCAAAGATTAATCTTAAATGAATGATAAATGATATACAGTATGTATTTATACACTTAGGTCCTTTGTATTTGTATGTGTGTTAGATAGCCTTTTGTTGTTGTTGTTGTTGTTGTTGTTGTTGTTGTTGCATTCATCAGTGATATGAAGATGACATCTTGCCTTCTATTTATTATTCAAATGTTCCTTATATGTACCTAGTTGTTGCATAAAATGCCAACATATAATGATATTCTTCACAATATTCTATCTCTCTAATAATGACACATCAGGAATCAAATAGGAATTTCCCCTAATGTGAAACCAAAAGTTCCTCAATGCATACACAGCTCTTCATTTCAGTATCTTTGAGGGCCTCCTTCACATGTCCAAGGTTAAGGACAAGCACAGCCAACAACAGGGTACATGCAGGAATCCTGAAGTCAAATGTAAAACCTTTTAAGACCTTTTTTAAGACCCTTTCCATACATTTTAAGACCTCATCGCCACTTGGAGTTTTAACCGGTTACATTGGCGACACACTTGACCTCACATTGACTATACAGTATTGATTGTCCTTCCTCCTTATCTTCCAACCATTTGGACGCAGACTTGCATTTCCTCATAACGATGTTGTTTAACAACCAGCGTAAACGGACCTTCGCGCGCTATCATGCAGTGAGCGTACGATGTCCTGTTCAGATGACGTCAAATCCAACGGGATGCCATAAATAAACTACACAGAATCACACTACACACCTACGCAATGATTACATTCAGGCACACTGTAGAATACAACCTCTTTGGACCATTTATATACTTATTGAAAACAAGCTACAAAATGTAATACCTTGGAAAATGCCATTTGATACTTTTTGGATACATTGGATAAGGCAACAATATTTGTATACAACCATCTGTTTCATAAACTAGACATATTAAAGTAATGAAAAAACATGGTTGTGCTTTGTTCTACCTCGGGTGTACCTCAACTTTTAGGGGGCTTAGTTCCTCTCTACATGAACACTACAAATATTCAACCCAGTCTCACAGCATTTCGTGATCACCAACACGATTTTTAATCTATTGATTCGTGACACGATTTGCCCCTTTTTTTCGTGTTGCACAGCACGGTTTTAAAAGCAATGTATTTCTACTGCCTGCAGCACGTCTTTTTCTCCGGTCGGGTCGAGGAAGACCGGAAGCTGTGTGGTTCATAAAAACATGTTCTTACTCAATATCAAGCCACAGTTATTGCTTTTATTTGAAATCGTATAATTTCGGACTTTTGTTGCCGTCTGTGAGGAAAATAAATGGGGCTCAGAGCCTCAGGATACTGAAATCTGTATTTTTTATATCTTTTTTTCCTTCTAATTTGTTATTCTTTTCAAAATAACACACTGTTATTTACTCACCAATAACACACAATTATCCTTGCTTTTATTTATTGGTTTAATTCCATAATCTCGGGCTGTTTTGGCGTCAGTCAGGAACTGAATTTCAAAATAAAAATAACCGGAAACAGACGTAGGCCTTTCGAGCGATTACCCAAGATCCTCAGCTATGGTTTTAAGCTCGTTTATTGGATGTTTTAGCCGCAATGCATGCTGGGATTTGGTGTTTATATGATATGAAATCCGGAAAACATTTTAAAAGAATAAAATAATACTTAATTCCGAGCGCTCTTGCTTTTCTCTTTGAAAGTCATCACATAACGGAATTGTAATACACGGTTCGGCTGCATTGTATATTACAGATCTGCCGTAGTTCTTTATTTATAGAGCTCTGATGAGAAAACCTTTGGAAAAACTGAGAAAATGCCGCCGAAACTGAATACTTGACGTGGATCATAAATATATTCAACAATTAAACAACATCTTCAATTTCTCTTCACACAATACGTCTCCTTGCAGTATCAACACTAATTCGGCTGACTTTTACATTTGATCTAATTCACAGATATATATTCACAAATAATACAAAGTTAATATGGCTGTGTGTACCTTGTGTGCACCGCCTAGTGGTTAAAGCACGTTATTTAATTTGTATTTGATTAAAAAAATATTAAGAGTACATACTTTCATAGGGGGAAAGTATAAATATAGAATATAAAAAATCAAGAAGATAATATAAGTGATCTCTACAATAAAACAGTTTAGTGCAGAATGTACAAAGATATTAATAGGAGGAGGTGCAAAACAGAAAAACGAATTAACCTTTATTTAAACATTAAATAATACTTTAGATTAAGGTCTTCTTTTAAATAAGAAAAAAACTTTGGGGGTATCTATCTACAGATAAATATTAAGCCTGACAAAGTACTTAACGTCTAATATATTGCTTTCCTGCAATGCTAACTATGTTGAAGCACTTATTTTAACTGATATTATACATATGAATTATACTCTTATGTATGTAGATAGAATAAGAACTGTGCAGAATATGACAGTTTAATGGTGGAGGTACACACATATTGATAGATGTCTTGTAATGCACTGTTGAGGAACCTGTGACCCAAGTGTTTCATTCATTGCATAACTACACCGTAGTTGTGTATATGATATGTCAATACACCTTTGAAAATCTTGAAAGGGATGTGCAAAATAGCCATAATATACAGTCTTTAATTAACTATTAGTAGAGAATAACGAGTAATGAATATACTTTATTACTCGTCAATTGCAGATACATGTTTAGTCTTCTCAAGCACCAACTATCAAATATCTCTCCTGATTGTTGGCACCTGACAATCACCTTACCTGAATTTTACTCAGGTGTAAATAAAGTCTGCTTTAAGGGTTGTTTATATTTCACATAATTAATCAGAATCTGCAAAGTAACTCAAATAAATGCAGTGGAGTAAAAATACCAGGTTAACCTCTGAATTGTAGTGGAGTAGAATTACAAAGTAACAATGAGCTGCGTGGGTATATATTAATGCTGCCCATTATGGAAACAAGCGATTTTCACTCATTTATTAATTATATGTTTTACATTTGATAACACCAATGTATTTAATACTGGCAACTTCTAATTGTGGGAAAAACGAAAACGTTCAGTAGAGACGTCCCATAGAACATTTTGCGAAACACAATAGCCAGCATGTGTAGTTCTGGGGGGGCGTTCAATTCCAGTTTTGGATAGTCTGGCGTGGTTTCGTTCCATTTCACACAGCTGTTTGACGCTCTGCGTAACCTTACGGGGACTGTAGTCCTAAACGATAGCTGGGGATTATGGGTAGTGTAGTGTCTTCGGCCATCCTAAACTCAGAAATGTTGACAATCGCAATGATGCTCGAAATGTCCCTTATAGGCCTACGTCTGTTTCCGGTTATTTTTATTTTTGAAATTCAGTTCCTGACGGACGCCAAAAAAGCCCGAGATTATGGAATTAAACCAATAAATAAAAGCAAGGATAATTGTGTGTTATTAGTGAGTAAATAACAGTGTGTTATTTTGAAAAGAATATCGAATTAGAAGGAAAAAAAGATTTAAAAAATACAGATTTCAGTATCCTGAGGCTCTGAGCCCCATTTATTTTCCTCACAGACGGCAACAAAAGTCCGAAATTATACGATTTCAAATAAAAGCAATAACTGTGGCTTGATATTGAGTAAGAACATGTTTTTATGAACCACACAGCTTCCGGTCTTCCTCGACCCGACCGGAGAAAAAGACGTGCTGCAGGCAGTAGAAATACATTGCTTTTAAAATCGTGCTGTGCAACACGAAAAAAAGGGGCAAATCGTGTTGCTGAACACGAATCAATAGATTAAAAATCGTGTTGGTGAACACGAAATGCCGTGAGACAGGGTTGAAATATTAGGCTGATTATTATTTTATCATAATGGGGAAATTCAGGTTAGGTTAGCATGGAAGATTAGCCGTTTGGAGTTATAGTACGCCTGGCAAGGCTAACAAAAGTATAGAAAGGAGTGGATGAGAGAAAAAGAAAAAGATGGCACTGAGGAAAAGACATACCTATGTTAGAAAGGAGAGAAGGAGGAGTCTCCCTCTCTAAAGTTTACACAGTGCAAGGGTATTAAAGCTCCCCAGGCCCGCCTCCTTCCCCTCCCCTCAGATTTACTACTCCTACCATGTTGTTTCTTCACTCCACCACCACCACTGCCCTCCTCCTTTATCCCTCCCTTTCTCCTCCCTCCTCCGAGCCAGATAGAGGAGTGATCAACCTGAGAGTTTAAACAAACCAGAGAGCCGGCAGAGCAGAGCTCACACACACTATCTCTCTCTCACACACACACACACACACACACACACTATCTCTCTCACACACACACTCATACAGCTGTTCAGCGCTGAGGGAACTCACCGGAGAGTACAGCTGAGGTAAATTTGATGCAGCTTTCAGTAGAGATTATACAACACAGCAGTTATAAAAAAAAGTTAGATGGCTTAAAATATGTATGCTTACTCTCTGTCATTCTGTCAAAGTAGATCATCTTGTTCAGTTCAGTGTTTGACTTAAGTTTGTGATGTTTTGTTGAGTTCCATCATTACAAGCCTTGATTTCATTGTTACTATCTTGTTTATAGCTGCGTTTTTGCACAGGACATCACATTTGTCCAGTGGTGGGGGAAGTACTCAGACAAAGTAGAAGTACTAGAGTGTAAGAATACTATGTTACAAGTAAAAGTGCTATCCAAATGTTACTCAAGTAAAAGTACAAAAGTATTGACATCAAAATACACTTAAAGTACCAAAAGAAAAAGTACTCATTGGCCCATTTCAGAATAATATATATGATACGTTTTGATTATAATGATTGATCATGAAAGTGTTCTCAAAGCTGGTAAAGGAGCAGCTTAATGACTTTGTATACTGCAGGGTAGCTTGTGAATTTACTCCAGGTGGAACTAAAGTCTGATTTAACACTTGATTATATTTCACATCATTCATCCAGATCTTTAAACTAACTAAAGGTAGGCTATTTAATTAATGTAGTAGAGTAAAAGTACACGAAGAACAAAGTAGCAAGACATTGAAATACTCAAGTAAAGTACAAGTCTCTCAAAGTCTTGTACTTAAGTACTGTACTTGATGTAGTTACTTTACACCACTGCATTGTCTCGTTGGCTGGTGGGAACTTCGAAGAGTTCGACAGCTGTCCACAAGCTAAAGGTCAAGTCTTTTCCCTTTTGTGCTTTCAGACAGTGAGACATCTGTACCGGCAAACTTTCACCTCTAACCACTAACCCCCCTGCAGCCAAACCCTGACCGAAGCATCGCATTCTCCAGACGTCAGACTGTCAGACGTGAGATCTCAGACTGAGAGGCTGTCTGGCTACATCTGCACTGATGGAAGCCCCTACCCTGGCTGGGAAGGGAGACTTGTGTTGCCCCCGGTCTTCTTCTCCAGAGGGGGAGACAGTATGTGCAGCTTTAGCCCGTTATGAGAATACTCTCCGGGACGCTATCAGGGAGATCCACGTGGATGTCAGCGCATTTAAACTGGGCATGGAGTGTCGTCTGGAGGAGACAGCCAACCTGAGCGGGCCTCTTGGACGAGCGGTGGTTCAGCTCCAGCAGGAGAACCGGCAGCTCAGGAGTCAGCTGGAGGCTCTTACTCTACAGGTGGAGCTCCTTAGTGGGATGACATGTGACAGGAGCACCGCGCTCAACGGCCACAATCACAGTTCGAATCACAAGAACCTCCTCAGTGACATTCAGGAGAACCATCAGGAGGTAAAAGAGGTGATCTATGGGAAGGGTGAGGCTCTCCTCCACGTCCAGCCCTGTGTTCTGGGGGGCCAAGCCCAGACCCACAGTGGCCTCAGCAGTCAGGCGTCCACACCTTCTACCTTCTTATCCTCGCCCATCTCCAGCAGCCCTCCTGTGGGCTCCAGAGTTTCCTCCATGGTGACGGGCCCGGTGTCAAGCAGCAGCCCCTCCACTGCCCGCTTCTCCAGCCGAGCCACATTTGCAGTTTCAAGCAAGACTAATGTGAGTACTGTATGTTTGAAGAGATGGCACATCATTTTATTATTTTTCGTTGCCACAATTAACAATTTCACCCATCAGAGTTTGACATGGGTCTGCATTGATTTTAGATGTAATGGTATTTAACACTACTGATTATATAAAGTTATATAAATCTTCTAGAAAATGTTGTTTTGTTTGGTTACATTACTTCTTTCAAATTTGTATTAATTTTTTTTACAATTGTAACTCTACTTCTTTATCCATTAGGGCCTAGTTACAGCTATTCACTTCAAAATTGATACACTACTAATTATTTTGTTTACCTATTACGAACATTTATGGATGTCTTTTAGCTAACCTTTTAAACCATTTATTCATTAAATGTAGCTAAGTATTTCAAATATTAATCTGACTCTTAGCCAAGTTATTACCTCTAGCTTTCTATTCCAAATATTTCTCCATTGTTTTTAGTCAAATGTTTGTCGGTATCTCCTGACCTTAATTAAAAACCAGCTATCAATGGATATAAATCCTCTTTTTGTTGTGTACAGTGAAATTTAAACTTTGAATTTAACCTATCATAGCATTTGGATACTGCTACAGAGCAGTGTGAATCGTAACTGGCTACTGCCACCAACTGAGCTAATGACATCCGGGCATTCAGTTTGTTATCTTTTTATTTTTCTTCTTGGCAAAGTATCTAGTGGAGCATACACCACCAACTCTACTCAAGTTTTGAACTATACAGGAGCATGCACATTCGAAACACTCACTAAGAGACAAATATAAGAAAGTGTGCGCCAACGCGGCAGATTACAACATTTGAGTTAGATCTTTCAACACATGTTCAGGTGCAATAGTCAGACTCAATATGTGCATATATTCATATTTGTTTAGCTGTTTATTTTTTTGTATCCTGTCAACTGCAGAATACCCCGTGAGGTACCCAGGATACAAATAATTGCTTTACATGGACATGTGTCTAGAATTCCAAGACAATTTGTAGTTTGTGTCCTCCTGGGCGCACACAGACACTCTTGACATATTTGACCCACCACTTCACAATCCAGTGCCAGATACATTTTTAACATGGATGGAAATATAATATATGCCAGCAAAGGAGGTAATCCAGTCATTATGATGTCATTTTTCTTGGTTGGGAAAGGGCCAATGTGGTCAAATAGGCAGAATGTGAGTTGGACTGGAGCAGTGTTGCGTTGGCTGTGTGGATCTGTCATACGAGGCACTGGCTGTGTCATTGCGGTTGCACAAAGGCCCTCCACCGGGATGCTTAAGGATTTATGAAGAGCAGTAACATGAGTCGACTAGGCTCCTGGGAGGTGAGGTTAGTGTGGTCTTGTGGTTTTCAGACCTGAGTCAATTATGTGAAATAAGCACCGTGAAATGTAGGGTCTGGTTAGTCCTTATTGCTGTCGTCCTGTGCAAATCATGTGGGTCCAGGTTTGGAATATTTTATGTTTTAGCCTAGCCTGAACAATTACAAGATTCTGGTTTGAAGAGATTCCAACCAATTGTTTGGTTCCTAAACGTGTCTGAATAAATTCAAAAACTGAGGGTTTGAGTTGAAAAAAAGCCAGATTTGAAATTTCTTGGAAAGCTGATACAAAGCATGTTTGTATCAAAATTGTTTTCATGTTGTTCATGTCCTGAGTAAGATCATACTCAGTTACAGCACTGATGGCCTGTGTCACCGTTGTATGGCTCAGTGGTTTCCAAGTTACTATCAGGGTTCAAATTTCACTGTCACCTTGGGATGCATGTTCATGGAAGTGTGTCCTGTGGAGTTGGACTTGTAACTCTTCTAGGATTCCTGAGCTGTAATAGTTGCATAGTTGAATTTGTTTCTGCCCTTGGCTTGCCTTGCTTCTGATGAAACCAAAAAGAAAACCTCTTGGCTTCCATCCATCACTCATTCCTTCCTGATCCTGTTTATAGGGTTTTCAGAACAGAAAGGACATTTTGTCCAAAGTACCTAAATGTTTATATGTAACCAATCTCTGCATTAATTGCAAGAACGTTGAAGCAATTTTAAGATAAGATAAGATCAAATATACTTTTATTGAACCCAGTTTGGGAAATTATTTTTTTCACAGCAGCATCTAGACAAGATCTTGCATATTTTTTCAGACACAGGAGCTATTGATAACTTTTCAACGTCATTGTTTCCAGTTGGTTTGTCGCCGTCGCAAACGTCAACAAGATCGCTCATCGTTTTTCTTCGCAATGTGTTCCGGAACTCCTGTTATGTAGCAACATTTCTTCAAGACCAAACATTTTGCAGACAAAGATCCACACAGATACAACTGAGACCCACACAGCTTTATAAGAATCACATGCACACATTATGCAAATATCTGTTGGTCGTGTATCTGTAATTACGAAACTATGCAGTGGATACAACAGAGGAATTTTATCTTCTGTGAAATCATGTGGTCAGAGCGAAACAACACAAGGGCACCTTTGTTTCTGCCTGTGTCTGCCGTGGGAGATCCCCCACTGTCAGCCAAACACAGCGCTGCAGAAACACACAGTTCAAACAAAAATACACTGTCAAATGATGTACGAGTGCACAAAGGTTCACATGTATATGCTGCCTCCTACGGTATGGAAATGAGCTTAATTTCATTTTATTGACCCACTTTCAGTAGTCAGATCTTCATAAAACTTGCAGATCACTCTTCCTGCTATGATCCTCAATCGTCTGTGAAGTGGAGACAGTACATAAAGTTCAGCTGACTGTTCAAACAGGCCTGATTGACATGATACACGTACATTAACGCACACACAGCGACACATTGCAGGTATTTGTATTGGCTGGAATCCAAGCTAAATCCATCTGAGCCAGAGAGATGTGTTCCAGCCTGCTCTCCAGCTGTTACAGTGCACCTTCACCTGACCCAACTAAGCTGCCGTACACACCTGCACACACACAAACCTTAAAACACACCTGCAGCACATTAGCATGACCTCGTTCATATGGAAATCACACCTGTAGCATCGGTAAACCATGAATATTTACTATTATTTCTTTATATCTCTGCCAGGCTTGGAGAGATAATGTGCTTGTGCTCATAGCCTATGTGTATCTTACTGTGCATTTATCATACAGTAAGTGTTCAGCAGCTACTTAAAGATCCCATGTCATGCTTTTCCGGTTATTGCCCGTCCCCTTGTGTGTTATGAAAGTTTATATGCATGTAAACGGTCTGCAAAGTCACTAACCCTCAAAGTACACCCTGTAGCGAGTACAACTCTAACACAGAAAATATGTATGTATGTATATATATATATGTGTTGCATATTTGGCAATCGGCTAGGCTAAACCTTCTAGCTACATGTGTAGCTTTTTCATTTTTGTAAAACTTACATCCATAAAAAGTTAGGTCTCATTTTGTACTGGAGCATCTGCATATTCATTCTATATATTATTTGTTCAACAATTGGAGCTAAGGAGGATATGGATCACGCAATAACTGTGTTAGCTTTAGCTGCTAGTGAGTTTTCTATGATTTCTTATGATTGTAGATAGTACAACATGATACAAATAAATCCCCTTTGTTCTTCTCTCTCTTCAAATAAGGTATCAAATCAAACAGTTGGTCCATTTTCATCTGCTCATATGATACTGTGTGTATGTGTGTAGGTTTATTCAAGCTCATTCGGTTTTCATGGACAAAAACCCTGATGAACAGCAATATTTTGTCAATGTTGTCATAATTTGCTGCCTCCGTTTCACTTTTCTGATTCAGTACATTGGAATTTGCATATACATTCTTGAATGGAAACCCAGCTCTGTGTGTGTGTGTGTGTGTGTGTGTGTGTGTGTGTGTGTGTGTGTGTGTGTGTGTGTGTGTGTGTGTGTGTGTGTGTGTGTGTGTGTGTGTGTGTGTGTGTGTGTGTGTGTGTGTGTGTGTGTGTGTGTGTGTGTGTGTGTGTGTGTGTGTGTGTGTGTGTGTGTGTGTGTGTGTGTTTCCATCTGGAGGGTTTTTGAGGTCTGTGAAGAGGCAGCTGTGTGCCTCTTTTCTGTCCTATAATGGTTCTGGGCAACAGGAATTAGTCAAGATTAGGTTTAGGAGAAAGAGCTAAGCCTCCTCAACAATGTTTTGTCTTCCTCCTGGGCCCCCCCCCCGACACACACACACACACACACACACACACACACACACACACACACACACACACACACACACACACACACACACACACACACACAAGACTGCAGACAAAATGTTGCCAATTACAGTGGCAAAGTAGCCATCTCAATGATCCATTATGTGGCTTCTTGTGCTTCATTGGGAATACATTGAGTATGGAAGGATTACAGAATCGACCCTCCTCTCGACTCATTCCTCTACGTCTCCTACCCGCACCCTTGACTCAACTCCACACATGTTTAACTAGGGGCTGACAGTTTGTGCAGATATGACACATTCTTGTGATTGATTGAGGCATTGGCAATCGGTTCTGATTAATTAATGTTCAGGCAGTAAGCTATATACTTCTTATAGTAGAAACTGTAAACCTAAAACAAACTTAATATAATGTCCACTTAAAAGGTTCTTTCAAAATGTTCATCATCTCACACTATCTTGTTCAGCGGCTCGGTTGTTATCAGATGATCTAAGGTGGTTACTTTGGTCATGTGATAACAGGTATAGAGAGTGAAACTCTAATCCAATAAATGTATCTTTAGGTAAATTGGGACTGCACATATTTTGCATGTCTGAGAAAATGGATAGATGTCAAAGCGATATTATTAGATCAACGTGATTGCTCAGCACTACTCAAACTACAAACTGACTACAAACGGAAACCAGAACACGTCCAATAAATGTGTATTTACGAGCTTAACAGAGACTAAGAGTAATTTGTCAACCTCTTTTGCTTGACTTTGAACATTCTTAATTGTGAATCTTAAGAAAATGTCCTACTTAAGTGCATGTTTAAGATTGCTTGTGAGAAAAAAATACTATTATTTGAAATTTCACACAATTACGATG